CCGCGCGGCCCCCAGTCTGGGTATGCTGCCAACTCCTCGACTTACCCCTCAGAGCAGTGGACTCTGCACTCCTGCAGCGAGTGCCGCTTCCCACATGCTTAATAAGTCTTCTGCGATGGGTTTGGCCATGGCTCAAGCCAACAATGCGAACACATCTCAGTACCTCGATCGTCTCCCTGCCACCATGACATCTTCCCCTCAAGCCTACTGCCCTACTCGCCGATCTTCCCTTGCTACTTCAGTGTCAACAGCTTCCTCACCCGAATCGATGATTTCGGATTCGTCGCGTTCCTCGCGTTCCTCGCGCTCTTCTTCCATATCATCTTCTTCATCGCTTGTTAGCGCGACCCTCAGTTCCTCCAGACTGGGTATGCCGTCGCGATTCCGAGCGTCGAAGTCATGTAATGAGAGATTGAGCCAGAAACCGACAATCCCTTCGGTTCCAGAGGATTATGATGTGCGCTGTGATACGTCCTCCCCCGAATCTTACACCGGTCCGGTTGGCAAGCTCGTGGGCCTGTCTCTGGAATCTTGCGTGGCGAGACGACAGCAGGAACTTGAGGATATGGCTCGTGATTCTGATGCCGCTCGTGCTTTACAGGAGCTCCATAATTATCGCGCAGCTGAGATTGTGCCCGCAACTGCCCCTAGAAGTGGTACGAAGCGAAATAGAACCGCTTCTATGGACAACTGCCTTCAGGAGAACGTTCGCGAGATCCTTGGTGGTCGTTATTCTACCCAGCATCCTGCCTGGCCCGATACGTTGGTTCGCACTCGAGGCATTACCTCTGAGTCGAATCTCCAGATCCCCGTCCGTCCTAGCTTACCTGGTACCGGCAAGCGAGTCTGCTGCTCTGCCGAAGCGGCTCAGGGCTACGAAGTTTCGTCTGTCCATCCTGCTATCGGCCTTCGGGGACCTGGTATGTTGGAGGGTATTCTCAACTAAAAAACCAATCACACGTTGGTAACGATATTCACTGTTTCCAACTTGATACCCTGTCGACTATAGATAAGCTATACATGACTTAAAAGTCAAGAAATAATGTCGAATCAAGAAAATTCTCTTTGTTAAATATATTGATGTGGCGGGTGGAAGAAATGGAGTCTTTTACTAAAAAGGCCTTGATACCACATTTGAGAGATCACAATTCTGCTGTATCATCGTCTGCTGGTATCTCGACTTTGGGCCGAAAAGCGTATTCATTTGCCTGCATGTCGGGTATGGGCTACGGAGCAAGAGTGATGGCTGCGGCTGTCTGTTTTCAAGGGTCGTTCGGTGGTGAAGAGTACATATCTTGTATGACTAGGACGACGCTGCTTTTCTTTGTTCTGTACTTGTTACTGTTACTTATTTGGCTTTACTTGGTTTACTGCCAAAGTCTCAGAAGTGGACTTGACGGCACTGAAAAAAGTATCGCACGGCGAAGAGGAGAGGCGAGAAGGTTAAGGAAGGTAATAGGTTTGATTTGCTATCAAAACCGAGCAGACAAACCCGGTCACCCAAGAATAACGACCCCGGCGTCAAAGAAGGAATCTGCAAGGTAATCGGTTTTGCATCAACTGGAGTTCAATTTGCCTTTTCCTGCAATCAAAACATCCCAAGACCGCATGTTGTCTTCGGAAACAGCCAAAGCTTGAATCCACTCGACCTCGTCAAAGGCAGACTTTGGGAACTCAAGAGGCAAAAAAAGCAGTCGATTTCGGAAGCGGACTCGAGCAAAGGAGTCCTAAGAATGATCTGAATTGAGGAGAGCGATGACGCTATGGCGAAATCTAATAGCTAGCTTGAAACAGTCCTCGCGATAGTGGACTCGTGGCAGTCATTTCCAATCCCTTATGGAACCAATTTTCGGATAGGAGAAGGACGCACGAGCAAAGCAAGACAAGCACGAAATCAAAAAGCATTATGCTGGAACACTAAATTGCCTCCGCCTTTCACGCAAACTGAAGCGAACCACTCACCATTTGTGACTACGTGATGCGCCAGAATCGAATACAGACCAACATCTGCATGTCGATCCGGACTATTGAAGCTTGAGGACGCTTGGGGAATGAGATTCCAGAACCGGAGGAGGTAAGGCATGAATTCTTACCATAAAATCCTACATTGAGCATGTGTTTAATTTATCCAAGGTTGCCGATCTGGTGCTTGAGCGAATCGGAGTCACACTCCCAAGCAATGCACGCTGGAGAATCTTTTCACTCGGAAGTTCCAGGAGCGCCTCCAACTGCGGCCGCGAAATCCCGGAATCGCGTGGTCCATTTGGACATGGTGTGCTAACGGACGGCGTGAGTCATATCCCGACCTTGGCACAGTCTTGACAGGATGTATGTTACCTTGTCTACCCCTGTCTTTGACCTCTTTTCCTCAAGTGCGGTGTAAGTGGCATCATCAGCAGGTCTCGTGTGTAAGTGTATGCGTATGTGTGTTTATTACGTACAGGGCTGGGCTGTGGTTGTTATCGCTAGGGGAACATCGTGAAGTTTAGTGCTACAAACAAGAGAGGCCGTTGGCTGAGGTGGAGATGAAAGAAGTCTTTCATAGGCAATGCGACATTGGAGGTAAGTTTGCTATGAAGTAAGTCTTGTCGTGATATTCTGCCCTTGTTGTTCTCTTACGCTTCGTTTCTTATTCATGGTGTTAAGGCGTTCCACGACATCTGGCCCTTTCATTCAAGACTCGAATCGTATGAAGCCTGGTGACATTCTATCACAAGGGGCGTATCCCGATTAATCTAGGAAGGCCTATTAAATACACAACATACGTCTAATCATGGTGAACTTGATTCCTTATTTTGAGATGTGATGGTCTCGCAACCGCCAGGCCTGACAAGCCTCAAGGGCGTCCGGTTTTGTGCTGGTGATAGGATGTACGATGAGCCATTATGAGTTCACACGAATCCTGCTGAACACTAGTGCGCAACATTCACTGCCCTGACTCTGACATTGGCTGAAGCCAACTAGGTTATGATATATGTCGGCGAGCTGAATGTGGTAGCTCGAAGTGACAGTGCTTACCCGATTCTTGCGGGTGCAGATTTGGACATGAGGGGAACGGAACAACCGGGAGGCAGTGCTGTCTCTTTGGCCGAGAAACAAGACTACCAGCCGTTTATTTCTGGGAGCTTGAAGTGCCAAAGCCATCGTGGAAAATCCCTATTGTTCCATAGACCTGTCGAAGTATCTCCTTCGAGATGACACTATCAGCACCCCATTTCAGCCGTTGATCAATACGTCTTCTTTGCTCTCTGGCAACATCTCTCGGTAGACCCTGACACAGTGCAGTGAGATCGATCAGATTTGTGATGAAGGCGTTAGGCTCCGGTGCGTCGATAAATGCGTTGCGAAGACAGTCCAGCTGAATCTCCCACGATCTATCATGCTCTTCCAGGCCATAAACTAGCCCACCCCTGCGGAGCCAGAACAGGAGGCGTAGGTTCTTTTCGTCCCATGGACCGGTGATGAGGGATGTAGGAATGCGCACCTTTGGGTGAACATCACAGCCACCCCATGATCCAACCCTTTCGAAAGGTTTCCAAGACAGAACCTCCTGATAATCAGCTTCAAAACACTGCTGTGAGTTGAAGTGCCCCACGCCACCTTCGAAATCATGGCCGTGTCCATAAATAAAGGGATCACCGTCATCATCCAACTGAGGAAGATAATGACGATAATGTTGGTCTCTGGCGTACTTTTCTACCCAGGTCTGCTGCGCCTGGAGAATGAATTCTGCCGTGATCCAAGGTAGGCACAATATGGTTGACTAAACCAACAATATTAGACGGTGAAATATTCCGAAGTATGATGGTGTTGACAAACCTGGAGTTGCCAATTGCCAGATACATGATTCTTATCTAGTGCAGCAAACTTCTCAGGGTCACCGAACGATTGTTCCCAAGTATCTTGGAATGCCCATATGATGAACCTGATGAGAGTAGCCCGCCCAGACAGCTTTGATCCTATGATCGGCGCGGACCGGGGAAGCGCAACATTGGCGCTGTAAAGGAATATACTCTCCAAGATTTCGGCCGGAAGAGCCTGAATAGCCGGCCTCCAACGCGTAGATCGAGAGGCAAGGACATTTGATAGTGAACGCTTCATTCTCTTGGGGGGGTTGATATTTTCGTCAGGGAGAGATGCGATAGTTTGCCGAGGGGACGGTTTGTCTCTCGATGGAAATTTCCGCTTGCTTCGAATACGTATAGGCGTAAGGCCCATGGCGCAAGTTTATACAGGATCTGAGAGTGATGCTGCTGAGATGGACGAGCCTCAATGGCATGAATTACTTGAGGCCGATGTGAGCTTTAGAGAATCGTCTATGGCTCGAGTTGGCAACCCAAATACATGCCCTCTCGAAAAAAGAAAATATCGGCCGTTGACCATTGAGGTGCTGGTCCTGCAACAGTCGACCTATAAAAAAGTTGTTGGGAGGAACATTTTGCAAGAGAAAAATTGCCATATTTCGAAGATTCAAAGGGCCGTCGGCAATCAAGGCGGAGGCGTGAATTCATAGCGCCAACAAGAGCTAAATTTAAATATTTATCCGATCAAGACAGGAGGTACTCAATTAGTCACATCTACGTAGGTAGGGCAAAGAATCTACAAATTTGTGATTGTTTAAAGAACAATTCCTCTCGGCATATTGGACAGATCCCAAGTCCAAGGTAATAAGTTAAGGTAACTAACTGAATATGGCCTGTGCACCATCTGAGACCCGCCAGAACCAGTGGCTTGGTCCCGATGACTAAGGCGTCTTTTTCGACATCGACTTTTCTTGATATCATCGATAACCTAGCCTACCTTAGAGCCTGTCCTCAACAAGAGACGCCGCACATATCCAATACCTTACCAATGCCGACGTGATACGGACTCCCAGTGATGCAGTCAGCCCTGTGTCTTCCGGTTCCATCTCGAAACCTCCTGCGATTCCTTCGGTGTCAGTCCAAGAGGGCTTTCTCGAACGCAAACCATGACCGAACCTCGATGACCACACCAGTTCCATGCTGTCGCGCACGAACACTAGATACTATTACGACGCGGAAACAATTCACAACCTTGGGAATGGTATGCCAGAGATCAGTGACCGTATCCAAACCAACACTCTTCCAAAGAGATCCCACCTCACGGAAATTTCAAGATTGTCATCAGCCCTGGACGGCCCAACGCTGCTTCAGCACCAGTCGAGGTGCGCGCAAGTTATTCAAAGGGCAAGATCCAAACCCAGAGAACCCACCAACATGGGAACGATTCCTCAAATTCGCAGGAAGGAAGGATAATAAAGACTTGAAGCCAGACGATCTCCCAAATCACGACGAATATGCTGATGGCTCGTCAATCTTCAACAACCGGCGAACACTTGCGGCCAAAGCTGCATCCGAGCCTCGACTGCGATGCACGGAAGTCGACGAGCATGGGAACGTCATTCTTGTTGATGGAGAATTCAAGAAGACTGAACTTATTGCAAAGGTACGGGTGTCCCGGCCGTAAGGAAAGATGTCAAGGATATAACAACTAACAATGGATGTTTTCAAGTTCGGCTTGTTGCCTCGTGATTTGCGAAAGATTGACTCGTCAAACTTGCCTCACATCCTTATTCGCCCTTCGGCCATTTTGCTAAACCTACTCCATCTCAAGGTCCTGATCAAACATGACCGAGTGCTTCTATTCGATATTTACGGCTCAAAAACATCGTACCCCCAATCGGCCTTCATGTACGACTTGCAGGGCAAACTACAACAGAAGAATACACAGGCATCAGGCGCTCTGCCATATGAGTTCCGGGCATTGGAAGCGGTGTTGACCTCAGTGACGTCTGAACTTGAAGCTGATTTCGAGGCGGTGCGGGAGCCGGTCATGCATATTCTTAGCGAGCTGGAGGATGATATTGATCGAAGCAAGCTCAGAATGCTCCTTATTCTATCCAAGCGAGTGAGCACCTTTGAGCAAAAAGCAAAGTTGGTTCGGGATGCCATCGAAGACCTCCTCGAAGCCGACGATGATCTCTCTGCCATGTACTTGACGGAGAAAACACATGATCTTTACAGGGGAGAGGATGACCACACGGAGGTTGAGATGCTTTTGGAGTCTTATCACAAGCTGACTGACGAAATCGTGCAAGAAGCCGGCAACCTTGTCTCGGGCATCCGAAACACGGAGGAAATGTAAGGAACCCTTACCCTTGACTTAAAGCTGATCATATTACTCACTCGCAAATGTAGCGTTCGTGCAATTCTGGACGCCAATCGAAACGCTCTCATGTTGCTTGATCTCAAATTCAGCGTTGGGACGCTAGGCCTAGCCATGGGAACGTTCCTTGCTGGTCTCTACGGCATGAACTTGGAGAACTTTATCGAGGAGACAAACTGGGGTTTCGCTGGCGTCACTGGTGTCTCAGTCGTCTTCTCGCTTATCGTATGCTGGTATGGCCTAACAAAGCTGCGCCGCGTGCAGCGCATCAAGATGATGGATGACGAGCGACCGCGGATCCCCCGCGGGCAGGCCTATTTTCCCGATGATCGCTCGGCGCTGGGGCTCCTTGATAACAGGAACCGCGAAATGTTGCGGCGAATCAACATGCAGAAGGCCGTATCGCAAAAGAAGAAGTGGTTTGCATGATTTTTTTCGTTCAGACAGACCTCCACTATGTTATTGCCATATTAGATTCCCTGGCTCAGTGGCACGGATTCAGCCACGTGTATAAACTAGATGTTTCTGGAAACTACTAGATACCTACTCATCTCAATGAGGTTGGAGTTGAAGCGAAAGATACCCAAATGCGGACAGCACACACACATCCTGACAGGCATCACCCTCCGTGAAAACACAGCAATCTCGGACCTTAATGGCACATCGTAAATATGACGACCAATGAGGCCACCAGCACAAGGCCAAGAAAGTCCAGATTCCTCCATTTTGTCCATCTTAGGGGTCTCGATCGTCGTGGTGACACCCACGCCCTATCGATTGATCTCATCATGACAGTGTGACGTCAGAAAAGAGTCCTCTTTAGCCCTCCATGAGTCCTCGTTTAATCAAAGCCTGGTCCTGGTCAATGGCGGCTGGGAAGGGAAAATCAGCCGAGTCATTTTGCAGGGAATCGTCTCCAACAATTGATTGCCCTGACGTCGAACGTAACCTCAAACAAACCCGCAACGGGCTACAGCGGCAATAAGACATGACAGGCCTTGTTTTTCTTGGAGCAGTAGCCACATTAGGAACGTCATCATGATGCTGCAGCCAATCAATGATGACCTGTCATTTAGCCACAGCCGTTAGTGTGGCTGGTGGCTGGGTCATGAGGGGAATCGGAGATCGCAAACTGACGTCAGGAAATAAACATGACGGAGGAAGGTATGATCCAAGAAAAAGAAAGAGAAAAAAACATGCAGCAGGCGCGATGGCCAGCACAACAAATTTCGGATATATAAGGACGTGACCTCGAATAAACTTTCATCTTTCACAACACCAACTCCAGATCTACAACAGAAATCTCAGCCTTGTCTAAGAGCTCATCAATCACAACCAACCAAACACACACACAAAGCACCTACATCACCTACTACAAATATTCACAATGGGCGGTATTATGTCTTGCGTAAGTCACGCTCCATTCTCTCCAGGAGGAACATATGATATTGGTCTACACGCCAAACTCAACCCATCCACCACCAACCCAATTTCTTGTTTCTTTCTTCCACTCTGACTCAGTCTCTACCTTCTTCCACTCGCTTACTACTGTCGTTGCCCCTCCCCAGTCGCGCTGTTGTCTCCTCCACCCCACTCTATCAGCCTCACTTTGAACCACATCGCTAACAAGTCTCTCCAACAGATCCGGTCATGCCTCCAGACAATTGGGGATGTCATCATGGCTATTATTAGTGGAATTGGTAGAATTTTGACCGCCATCGTCAACGGAGTGGTTAGTTTTTGCGCTATTCTGGTCCGATTTTTGACCTGCGGCTATTGTGGTTCGAAGGGAGGCCGAGCGAAGCGCCGGGGAGGCTCTCACATGAGGACGACGAGGGTTTAGACGATAAAACACCAGAACGAACTTCTTTGTGATACCAATTTGATAAAGGATAGGGAGGTGGGGAGAGCTATGTTAGTTTGCGGAGGAGTTTGCTACGGCCGTTTACTCTTCTGATTTCTTTGATATTCATCTGTCAGCATTAGGATACCCAATCCTTACGATTTTTAGCAAAATCTTCAATCTTGTAACATTCCGCTAGTGCACAATTTGAATTCCATTGGTAATATTACACTTTGATTGCAGTTGGTGACAAGGCCAGGGGGCCAAGAAAACCTAACGTCTTTATCCTAGATAGTATTGAAAAGACTTAGTAAGGACACCTAAACTTAGACTAAATTGCCTAAGTTTATTTTAGTATCCTCTTTCCAAGTCTTATATTTTCTTGCTCCCTAAGATGAGGGTGATGGACGGTAACCGAATTAACGTATATGGTTTATTGTTTTACTCCTCTCTTATCCTGATTCATCCTGCGGTATCTGTACATCGTTTTAGCATTGGCTTGAGATTAGTCGTCCTCTTCCATGACGTTGCGGTTAAAGAATCCATGAATCTGTCGTCCAGCCGTTGTGCCGACCAAAGGTGCCAGTTCTTGGACCGTCATGTTGGCAACTTCACGAATACTCTCAGTCTTGAGCACCAGATTCTTGATGTTTTGTGGAGTCACGCCTGGCACGATGGCAAGCATATCCTGGGGCTCCTGATTGAAGGCTTGCTCCTCGGCCCTTGTATCCTTATCCAAGCCAGCCCTGACAGCGGCTATCGGATCAGGCTCTTCCTCCTGAGTCTTTAGGGATTCAAAGATCTCGGCCGTCTGGTACGGAGACGAAGACCAGATGATGCGCAACTTTGGAAACGCCAGTGTCAATAATACTAACTTGGATTGTAAGTCGGACGACATGTTGGTCGGAGCGACACTGTTCAAGCTTCCAGATAAATCGGCAAATGGCTCCAGAGTGAAGGACTTGTTCTGGTCAAACTCGATGAGCAGCATCACGCTTTTATAGTACTGAAACATAGTCTCGGCTTGACTGTAGAGTCGGCCATCCTTGAACGACGAGATCAGATCACTGATAGATTTCCGTTCTACACAGATATTTGGCGATAAAATGTAATCACCAACTGTGAGCATGCATGGTACAATGACCATAGAGCGGCCGTGGAGGAGAGATGGTAGAGAGGAACGGAATTCTCGCACGTCTACCACAACACGTGGCGGCTCAGCTGTTGCTGCAAGCCTTCCACCACCAGCAATACGTGTGTTGACGGTACGGAGAAAAGCCTCTTCAGGATCCTCAGCTGGGTCCACGGTCATGACAAGGGACATGCTTGCCCTCTCCTTGATGAGTTTCGTAAATGCATCCTTCTCTCGCCGAACAGATGACAGGTATTTCTGTTCCTCCACCGAGCCACCGTAGTACATAAAGTATACCCTCACGTTCCTGTCGTTATGCGATGATCGGTAGACTTCAACTCGGCGAATAAAGGCGGCGTCTGGCTCATACATAATTATGTATCGTGGCTTGGTTTCCTCAAGGACATGCTCGTCCTGATCTCCATCATATGCGTGGATGACGACGAGATCCTGCATATCGTATAGTTTGAAGTACTCCTCCATGTTGTCGAGCGGATCTGCTACAACGTCTTCTTTCTGCTGTGCCTCCTCTTCTGTAATCTGTACCTCGGCCATGAGATCGGCAACTTCTCCCGGTTTCTCAATGTACTGCATGATACTGCCATTCTCAGCACGACCCATGCTTACGCCGGCATTTCCTCCGCCTCGCACTCGTCGTCGTTTGTTTGCAGGAGTCTTTCCACCTCTTGACCCTGCGAAACCGGGACGAGTGTCCGTGGCTCCATTCAGAGCCTTCTGGTTTTCGGAAAAGAGAGTGGCGCTGACCTGAGCAAATTGTCTCTTCCATTTCAAGTAGTTCCTCAATCGCCTTCGCATCATGAAAGCTGCAGAGGGCTTGTCTTCATCTTCATCGTCCTCGCTTGATCGTTTCTCCGTCTTGGGCTTGACGTGCATGGTCTGTAAGAAGTCTCGCAACTGTCTGCAAGTATCGGTATTTGAGCACATGATCAGGATGGTGCCGTTGGAATCGTCTCGAACTGGAGGTTCAAAGTACAGATCACGATCAATTTCCTCCAGCACCTCAGCCAAAAGCGCCCATTTGGGTAGCTCTTCGAGAACAGGCCTTAGAGAGTCGATGTTATCTTCCCGAGCCGCATCCTTGGCACTGGCGGAATATACTCTTCGTCTTGCCGTGTCGAAAATGGTCTGAGCAGCATCAAGGAAGAGCCACGGTGATTGGGTTTGCCGGGTTGATCCTGGAGGAGGGGAGTGAGCGGCATGAATGGTATCCAAATGCTGAAGGAACGAAACAGCATCATATGCCAGAATGGAGTTGAGCATGGTTCTGAGAACAGTCAAGTCGTTCACAATCTGTTTCGTCTTCCAGCTCACGCGGTGCCAGTTGGGATCCAACTGTCTCCGAACCATGATGTCAAAGTTCTTGAGAAGAGCGCTGTCGAGGTTCCAATCGTCCATTTCCAGGCCACTGTTACCTTTCTTGAGCTCGTGAATGCTGACTTCAACACATTCCATGATGGCGGTTTGGATCTCACGCATCGAGTCTGTCATAGGGACTTCGAGCTCGATAACTTCGGCCTTCTTCTTTCCTTCCAGAGATTGCGCGACTGTGACGTGGAATCGAGGCCAGAGCGAGGCTTTACGCAGAAAGAGGTTCCTCATCATAGTAGCCAAGGGTGAGAAGCCAGTGGTGAAGGGATCGGGGTTATCCGAAAAGGCTTTCAAGAACCCAACCTTGTTCTTTTGACGATAAACTCTCAAGATGAAGGCCTCGAGGGATGTTGCGACAACGCGATCGGCATGAAGAACAACAAGCCCTGTAATTGATTCAGGATTCAGCAAACCTGTGAGAAGGTCCACCACTAGAATACGCGATGTGATGCTGAAGATTCCGCCTCCAGAGTACATCTTTTCCCTTGCGCCGACGCTTTGAAAGTCTGTGTTGACGACTGTCAGGCCACGCGCTTTCGGGGACATGCTGATGGCTGCATGTTCGGCCAATGCTTCACCAATCCAGCCATTTTCTCGATCATCAGCGGCGACTACAACAATTAAATTGTTTCCGCCGGCGTCATACGAATGGAGGAGATTGTTGACAAGGCGCATCAGCCCCAGGCCGCGTGCGATAACGACAAGCTCATCTTCAGCACGAAGCTCCTGGAACAGAGTCTGTTGGTATTCCTAAATCAATGAGCGAGGGATCATCCTTGAAAGTCATGGACAAACCTACGAGTGGGAGTGAAAGCTTCACTGGCTGGGGAGCATTGCTTGCAGACATGCGGGCCACCCAAATATTGGTGTTGACAGACGATGTGTTGAAGGGGGTTGATAAAATGACAAGCTACTATAGTCGTGAATGATGTATTGAAGATCTTAGTGGGGAGCTAGAGCCATGGCGGGGAATGTGTAAGTTGCATGCATAAGACGGAGCGGCCATGATGGAAATGAATGAATGTTGGTTGGTAATTATAGATGGTTTCTTAGACAAAATGAAAAGAATTTGCTGCAGGTTATTTTTTAAACTTTTTATTTACTTGTAATTATTACATATGATATCAATATGTTGTGCTGATCATGTTCGTCGGCCTGTCTCATACCAGCGACAGTGTCACCCCGCCATTTGAGATTTACCTCTAACCATGGGCTGGTTTCTGACTCTATGTTATCTGTTTTATATTAAGAGACCGTGTCACATATCGGGAATGGCATGCTGGTAAAGCTACTGCAAAATATTGCAATTGTATGCAGCTGATTGTTCGTTAGAGTACAAGGACCATGGCAGTCCCTCTATTTTAGAAGTCATGATAAGATGAATACAGCTTAAACCCTTTGAATTCTTGGAACTCTCCAGACATCACAAATGGGCGCATGACTCTGCCAGTGTAGCTAATACACCCCTTTTCTCTGTTTCGCATTCCTGAGACCAAGCTGGCCAAGTTGTGATACCTACCTACCAAGGTATTCGTCCTTGATTTTCTTATTAGCGATACCCACTTACACACATTGTGCACACCATAACCACCATCTCCACGTCATTGTTCAAGATCCTGCAGTGTCCTAGATAGCACCTAGCTATGCAGTGATCTCAACAGTCGGCGGTTTTTGGGAAGACGGGGCCAATGAGAAGTTGTATACATCCTCTTGTGACACTCCCCTAAAGAGTTTGCGTTTCTGGTTGTCGTAACATGCGCCACAGAATGGTCTTATGTACCTACTTAGGTAGTCTAGTCAGAGAAGACGACGTCATCGCCTCATGTTATGGGCGGGCCAGCGAACTACAAAAGGACGTTGACGACCTATGATTGAGTACTTAGCCACAAGCTCTCGAATCAACCCAACAAAGAAACTACATCACAACAAGAACCCTTAACTTTCTTAAGCAAATCACCAAAACAACTCTCAGAATGACTGGCACCGAGCAACAGAAGGAGGTGAGTTGACTCCCTTGTACTGGAGCCTTGGTTACTGAACCCAACACTGACCATTTTCTTACAGGGCGAGAAGCAATTCTCCATCCAACCCATCAAAGATGAGGCCAAGGACAAGGTCTCTGCTTTCAACGCTCACCCCGGACCCGCCGTACCCAAAGATATGCCCCAAGAAGAGGGTACCAAGGAGGAGCGCAAGGCCAAGATGGAGGCTCTGAACAAGAAATAAGCGGTTGACTTCTGTGGCAGAAGTCGCTTTGTTGACATGACTGTATGACTACACGTGGACTTGGGACTGGGTTACTTTACGATTTATTTATACAAACACTCGAGAAATTTTGTCACGACTTGCATTGGAACGTGACGATTGCTAATCGTAGTCTCATGCTGGTATCATGGCACTGGCCAATGGCAGCCTCGGAATCCCCTGCTGACACGCAGCCATCCAATATCTGCCCCTCATCGTTGTTAGTATACTAGATTTGGAGCCGAGACAAGCAAGACTCGGGGTTGATGAAGACTCGAAGTTATATCAGAACATATATATTTCCATACACTTAGAGGCATGTGAAAAATTGTTCTCGCTGCCTCCCAAGATGTTCCGTTGTTACTAGTTAGTCGATAGCTGGCACATCATCTTCGTAACACATCAATCAGGTTCAACAGCCTACCTAGATGCCCCTAAATACTCCACTACCTTAGGCGACTGCAGTTATCTACTAACCCAGGTATCTACTAAGACACCTAGGCTGCTAAACTCTGGCTGCCCAACAGTTGACTGGCCAGGCGAAATTTCTAGAACCTGGTAAAGTGGCTGAAGCGGTGAACCATCCATTTCGATAGGTACCTGGTTCATTGCAAGTTGACCGCTTGCGTTGCATGTCACAGTCACAATTATCGCCATAAAACCATCACTATGTATCTAGCATACTACCTTGAGCTTCCAATTCCCTCCCGCCCACCAAAAAGCAAACTTGTCAAGACGTAGGCGTATCTAGGTTGCCCCGCCCCGAGAACTACAGTACAGTTAGTACTCAAAGTGGCTGTGGTACAGTAAGTTAGGTAGGTAGGTGTCGGGTGCTTCTGCAAGGGTTCTAGCCTGTGGCTGGTGCTCACTTCTCTCGCTGCGGACTGGGCTCTGTCTGGCTCTTCACACATCATCCCAACCGACCGCTGGCCCAGTCTGGTTCCTGTTCCCCACGGTCGACGAACACCTTTTGACGTGCGACGACCATCCGTGCTCACCTACGCCATCCGAGAGAGAATCCTTTCCACTCAAGCCCGAAAGCTCGGGCGCTGCTCGCACACTCTCTTGGTCATATATATCTATCCGGCGACAAGAGCTTGCACCTCCCATACCCCAAGATTTCGGTTGCCTCACGCGAGCGCCAAGCGATTCTGACGAGACGTTGCAAGAGGAGAGACCAGACAAGCGCCACTCCGCGCGTCCAGTCCAGGCGACAACCGACGAACTCATCTTACCTTTGGCTCATATCCTTCGTTACTGTTTCTCTGGCATATCCGATTGCACGACACTGCTACGGTAATCAATACTCGATTGCGCCGCCACAATGCCATCTATTCTTAACGACGATGATAAGGATACCGTAAAGCGGTTCATCCCCAAGCAGTCCAACAAGATTCAGGCCGTTGCTGTGGCCAGGCTCTACGTAGCATATCCCAATCGCTCAAAATGGACATACACCGGACTACAGGGAGCCGTTGCGCTCGTGAACGATCTGGTCGGAAATACATACTGGATCAAGATGGTGGATATTTCGGTATGTCCACGATCCAATATCCAAATTGCTTCCACCACACCTAACCACCACATGCTAACTTGTTCAGCCTTCCAATCGAGGAGTTATCTGGGACCAGGAGATTTTCGATACGTGGAACTATAACCAAGACCGAACCTTTTTCCATACCTTCGAACTCGAAGAATGCCTCGCTGGTCTGAGCTTCGTCGACGAAAAGGAGGCCAAACAGTTCAAGAAGAAGATGGATGAGCGAGAGAAGAACGCAAGCCGAGCTACAAAGGCGACACCCTTCGGTGGAGGTGCCCAGCCAGCCCATAAGCATGGCCTGTTGGGAGGGCTATTCGGACATCGCCATTCGACTCATATCAGCTCTCAGCACACAGCTCCGACTCCTCCGGAGTCTCCCCGGATGCCACATAACTCCATCCAGCATCATGTTGTCAACTCAACTCCGAATCTCAATGGCTCAAGACCTTCTGAATTTGCACTCTTAGATGCGTTCGATCCTCTGTGGCGCGAGCACTTTGGCGCAGATCTTCAAGACAAGGGTTTGACGGACGACTTCATCAAAGAAAATCAAGAGTTTATTGTCGACTTCCTGAGAGAAGAACAACAGAAGGCCAATCAGCCTCATTCGACACCGCCACCTCCTCCAGCAGCGAAAGCACCCTCGCCAACCCCAACTGCGAACGGTAATGAAGGAAGAGGCTCTCGAGCGCCTCCGCCGCCACCGCCGCCCGGTAGTCGACCGCAGTCAGACGGTCCTCCAGCGCCCCCGGCTCCGAGAAAAGGCGGCCCCCCACCTCCTCCAGCCCCGAGACGGTCGGGCAAAGCCGAATCTCCGGCGAAGGATGCTGCGCCTGAACGAGCGCCGTCACCTCCTCGACCCAAGTTTGGCGTCCCTCCACCGTTGGCCGACGCTGGCAAATTCGCACGTCAAGATCCTCCAAGGGCTGTTCCAGCTACGCCCACTCCTGGACCTCCCCCTCCTCCTCGACCGGCCAAGACTCCTATAGAAACACAGAAGAATGAGAGTCACAGATTCGGAGTTCCTCCTCCCTTTCCTGGTTCAAGGGTACCCCCACCAACACCTAGCCGTGGGCCTGTTCCTCCTCCTCCTCCACCTCGACCGGCCGATAACCACCCTGTGCCTGCAGCTCTTCCTCCTCCTCTGCCTCCCAAAGTACCGGCTTCTTCAGCTCCACCACTGCCGCCTCCAAGCTCCCGGCCTGTTCCTCCTCCTCCAGCAGCCAACAATCACCCTCCTGCTCCACCTCCCTTACCGGCGACAAGTGCTCCTCCACCTCCTCCGCTACCACCAACGTCAACAAATGGTGCACCTCCTCCAC